ACCTTGATAACTATGATGAGCATAAAATGATTAAATCAAACCTTTAAATAGAGGAAATTTTGCTACAAAGGTTTCATGCAACCAACTTGAAGCATCTAAGGCGTTTGATGTCTTTTTAAGGCAATTGATATGCCTACTAGTTTTCCATTTTTTTCTTCCAAGCAGACATCAGAGTAGATATCCCTTGTGGAAGAAGTTTCCTTTCGATTTTCAGGTCATCCAAGGAGATATCTAGCATGATATAGATTCATGATGAAATCTTAGCTCGTCAAAGTACCAAAGATTTTGGCCTTATCAATGAAGCCAAGGCGGAGTGAGTGTCTCGGGATGTTAAGATAAAAGTTAACCCATTCAACTAAAGATATAAGTTTTCTGAGTTGAGAACAATGATTAGCTTGTTTTTTAAGAAGCAATGTTATCTAATTTATAATGATTGCATCAGTGTTGGGGGTAGGATCAGCTCTAAGAAACATAAGAGAATATCAAGATTGACAGAAGAAGGTCGAGACTTTTTTTGAAAATGAGAATGTCAAAAATGATACATTTGCATTTTATGCATAATTTAGGACATTACATTCTTGACATTACATACATATGATATTTTTATAGATTGTTCGAGTCAATTTCAACTTTATGATTAAGGATATTGCACTCAAAGCACTCTCAGGATCGTTTTAACTCAACGATGATAAGTTATCTTTCAACAAAGGTTTTAAGTTAAATTTCAACTTCATAACGAAGGATATTTAAAGAAAACCCAAGATCGCCTGTGATTTAGCTTAACTCAGCGATAATGAGCTGCTTTCCAGCCCAGATTTCAACTTAGCTTTCAATTTCACGGTGAAGGATATCAAGCTCAAGTTGCTTAGGATCGACTTAACTAGCGATGAAGAAGTCATTCACAACATAGCTTAACTCAAAAATAAGGAGCTATCTTTTAACAAAGGTTTTCAAGTCAAATTTCAACTTCATGACGAAATATATTTGAAGAAAACCCAAGATCGACTATGATTTAGCTTAACTCAATGACGAGGAACTACTTCCTAGCCCAGATTTTGAGTTAGATTTCAACTTCACTACAAATGATATCAAGCTTGAGTTATCCAGGATCGACTTAACTCACGATGAAGAGTCATCCACAACCTAGATTAATACAACAACAAATAGCTAGCTTTTAGTTGAAGTTTTCATGCTAAGTTTCAACTTCACGACGAAGTATACTTGACCCAAACACACATTCAGAACTGACTGCAATTTGTCTTAACTCAGCGACGAGGAGCCATCTTCCAGTCAGATCTTTTCAAAGTCAATTTCAACTCCATAATAGAGGATATTGTGTTTGAAAGTTAATTCAGAATCAACTACAATCTAGCTTAACTCGGGGGCGAGGAGCTAGTATTTAGTTGAAGCTTTCAGGCCAAGTTTCAACTTCACGGCGAATGATACTTGACCTGGAAATACATTTAGAATTGACTACAATTTGGTTTAACTCAGCGGAGATGAGCCATCTTCTAGTCAAATCTTTTCGAAGTCAACTTCAACTTCACAATGAAGGATGTTGGGTTCGAAGACCAATTCAGAATCATCTATAGTCTAACTTAACTCAGTGGCGATGAGCTAGTTTCTAGTTAATTTTTTCTAGCCAAGTTTCAACTTCACGACGAAGGATACTTGACTCGGAAGCACATTCAGAACAGATTGCAATTCGACTTAAGTCAGTAATGATAAGCCACATTCCAGTCAAATCTTTTCAAAGCCAGCTTCAACTCCACGACGGAAGATGTTGGGTTTGAAAGCCAATTCAAAATCGACTACAATCTAACTTAGCTCAGCGGTGAGGAGCTAGTTTCCAGTTGAAGTTTTCAAGCCAAGTTTCAATTTCACGGTGAAGGATACTTGGCTCAGATGCACATTCATAAATGACTGCAATTTAGCTTAACTCAACTGTGAGGTGTCATCTTCCAGTTAAGTATTTTCGAAGTCAACTTCAACTTCACGATGGAGAATATCCTCTTAAAAAAATCATCCACAACTACGAAATAGAACTCAACTTCACCATAGAGGACATTGATTCAAAGAACATCGAAAATCGGCGAACATGTCTTCACCTGACTTAACCTGCGGAGGGGAATTACCTACAGTTTGATCTGATTCTTGAATAAATGTATCAACATCAAAGAAGCAAGTTTGCATTCTGAGTCTATCTAAAAACTGAATGAAAACTTGTGTCTTTTTATATTTTTCATATTTTCGTTGCACGATAATGGAGAAAGGGACAACTCTAAACACTCATTTTCGTATGAGATTTGAATTTAGATTTGAATTTTTCTTTCTTTTTACTATTTTTGATTATTACTACTAGTTATATTACAATTGTCTTTATATTTTTTATATGTTACTAGCATATATATTATATAGTTTTGTTTATTACTTATTATTATTTACTACTAATATTTTACTATTATTATTGTTACTTATCATTATTACATATATTATTTATTATATATATATATATATATTTATAAATTATAATAATTAGTATTTATATTGATACAATATGTTTATCTTGCAGGCCAAACCCTATAGTCCGATTACAAAAAAACCCAAACATATTATGCAATGTTAGGAACCCTAGGGTTTTTCGAAGTCTCCAGCCGCTGCACAAGACGCTTCCAGGATAAGCTGTTGATAGTTAGGCGCGTGACCGATACACACCGATGATTGAATTCCACGCGCCAAGCAACAACATTCTCCCCGAAATTTTCTCAACAAATATATGCTAAAAAGGGCCAAATCCAAAAATAACATAAATTTTGGGGATTAATAAGATCCAGGAATCTCTTTGCTTGATTGTAAAATGGAAACGTTTTCATATATAAATCCGACGAAGAATAATGAGGGGGAGTTCAAATACAAAGAACAAAACAATCATTGTACGTCAATCACCATTATCAATAAAAAGGATTTCTTTAAAATACTTCCTTTTTTCGCATGTTCTTATAACGTTTCTAGTAAAGTTTTCGATGAGTGAGTGACCTTGCAAAAAGAGAGAAGTCGAGTGAGCAAAAGAAATAAAATATAAACAAAAAGAAAAAAGAAAAAGATTCTTATCCATTCAGATGACATCATCCACAGCGTTGGAGAGCTCTGTTTGCGAATCTGGACAGTTAAACAGGAGAGTACACCACCATGAACAACATATCTTGAAATTAAGATGATCGAATGGTGAAATCGAGTGATCAGAGAAGCCGAAATGTTCCAAGTTCAATCTATGGTGAATGGAGAATATAAAAATATTAACTTAATTTAAAAATATTTTATCTTTATTTTCATTTAAAAATATATATTTCATGTTAAAATTTATTTAAAACTATGACTAAATCGAGAGAATATGTAAATAATAATGACTAAATGTGTGATTATACCAACTATCACACCATATATTCTGTTAATTGTTAATAACACTTAACCCATGATGACCACATCTTAATTAAATAAAAACGAAAATGATTATATCTTATGCTTTTTTTAAATAAATGATTAAAAGTGGACAAAACATAAATACAAGTGATCATTTGTGTAGTTAACTCAGATAAATTCTGATATGATTTTTCCTTTTGATTACTTCCTAATTTGATTTTTGTTCTTGTTTAATTTTGCTTTAATTTCAAATTTAGTTTTTTTTTATCGTTTTCGACATTTATGTTTTCTCTTTTATTTCTTTTCATTCATTTGAGATTTTATTATTAATTTAATTTCTAATTTACGTTTTAATTTTATATGTATTTATTTTGTACATTTAATAATTAATTTTATTTTTAACTGTGAATTATATTTATTTTTAAGGGATCTCAAATTAAAGTAATCATTTGAATTCATTTTTATTTATTAGGTCAACATTATAACTGACTAGGTACCGAAAGGGTATCGTGAGATGTTAATCATTCACTTCAATTTGTTATTTTACTTTTATTAAATTAACAAGTTTTTAGGTGTAAATTAACAAGTTTTTAGGTGATACAGTCACACCCTAAAAAGATTGATAATAACTCCCTCCAAACACAATTCAATATTATTTAAAGCAAAACTTTGAAGTGGGATTCACATCCCGACCTTAAAGACTTTTCGACAATATCAAATTATATTAATTATTACATCAATTAAATAATTACTGTAATAGATTAATTTATTAATTTAATTATTATTTTATAATTTTCCATAAATAATTAAAAAAACACCTTATAATATGAATGTTTATGCATTTTTATTTTTTTTGGCTTAATGAGAAAAACAAGAGCTCAAATTATATCATTTTCTTATTTTAGGTGTTTAAAGTATTTTAGTTCGAGTTAGGTGCAACATTTTTAATGTTGTTATTTTAAATGTTTAGTCGGTCACGATCGTAAAAAAAATAACATTTATCATATGTTGCGCTTATATTTTTCATAATTATTAATTAAAAAATTAAAATTATTATTATTTTAAAAAAATCCTAAAACTTTAAAAATATCATTAAAATATCATAAAAATTATTAATCATCTCTTATGATTCCCTGTTGCCGTCTCTAAATCCCTACCCATCGGTCAAAGACCGAACGACCAAAGGGAGATAATAATAATAATAATAAGCGTTTAGAATTAGAGATTTTAAAAATTTAAGTCTTCTTTGATATTTTACAAAATTAGTTTTTAAAAAATAATAATAATCTAAGTCTTTAAAATAAAGACTTCAAAAAACATAAATGTAACAGTTGTTAAATAGTATATTTTTAAAAATTGTGACCGAGCGGTATTTAGAATAATAACATTAAAAATAATAAATATTTTTGTCGAAAAAAATACTTTAAATTCTTAAAGTGAACAAAAATATAATTTAAGTAATTTATTTTTTCCAGTAAGTGATTTTCTTAGAAGAGCTTTAGACCTTCGGCCTAATGTAGTGCAAGTCAACCATTTTAACGAAACGGTCTAACAAAAAGCCGGCATAAGAAAACCGGATCAGAGAGTTTATTTTTCTTGTAAAACAATTTATCCTTGGAAAAGAAGTAGGTTTCCTTATTTTCTTCTGCGTCCATCTCTTTTTATCTATTTTCACATACAGCTCCGACCCGATTAAGCTCCGAAATGAACTCTGAATCTGTAAGTTCCTCGAATCGCTCACGCATGCCTTTGAGCTTTTAGAAATAAACTTTTGGGGGAAAATAAAAACTGAATCGATCCATTTCTAGGGCTTTTCTTCTATTATTCAATGCGTTTAATTCATTTAAAATTGAAATATTGACTCGACGTTAGTTTTTTTTTCTTTTGAAGGATTCAAGATTATAAATGCTGCTTAGGGTTCTTTAGGAATTGTTGCTTTGAATTATATCTATTTTGTTATGGAACGAGAATATTAGGGTTGGTGTTTCGATTTTGGGTGGAGGAAATTGCGTGATTGGGTGTTTTTATTTTGGGGATTTCCAAAGAGGGAAGATAGGCTTGGTTTAGAGGATTATGTGTATACTCTGTGTTATTCAGAAGTGGTCTCGCAGGGTTGCTTCGATGCTGCCTTGGTTGGTTATACCATTCATAGGTTTATGGGCACTTTCTCAGCTATTGCCACCTGATTTTCGATTCGAAATCACCTCCCCAAGGCTGGCTTGCGTTTTTGTGCTTTTGGCAACTCTGTTTTGGTATGAAATTTTAATGCCCCGACTTTCTGCTTGGAGGGTTAGAAGGAATGCTCGCCTCAGGGAGAGGAAAAGGTTCGAGGCTATAGAACTGCAAAAGCTTCGTAAGACTGCGACACGAAGGTGCCGGAACTGCCTGACTCCATACAAGGATCAGAAGCCGGGTGGTGGTCGGTTTATGTGCTCTTATTGTGGTCATGTATCGAAGAGACCTGTTTTGGACTTTCCCAGTCCGCCTGGTCCGGGGATTTCAAAATCTGGGGTCATTAAGGACCTTGTTGGTAAAGGTGGGAAAATCTTGAATGGAAAGGGGTGGTCAGAGAATGGGTGGACGTGTGGGCAAGATTGGTCAGAGAATGGGAACTGGGTCGCTGGGTCTGTTGCAGGGAAGCCTATCTATCGGTGGATGAATGGCACTGATGATTTTGGAAGGGACGGGGATTGTTTGACAAAGAAATCTGATTCAGGCATTGTTATTTTTGCATGCAGGCTGTTGATGCCTTTCTTGAGCATTAGGTGGCTTTTGAGAAAGATTTTTGGGGTTAATTCATCAAACTACGATGCTTCATCTAATGCAGACCACAGGAGCTTGTTGGCTAAGAGGGGTGAGAATGGAACAAGCATTCATGAGAGCAGAGGAGAAAAAGCACGCAGAAAGGCTGAAGAAAAGAGACAGGCTAGGTTAGAGAAGGAGCTTTTAGAGCAAGAAGAGAGAAAGCAAAGAGAGGAGGTTGCAAGGTTGGTGGAAGAACGAAGGAAACTGAGGGATGAAAAACCGGAGGCTGAAAAAGGCCTCAGCAAATTGTCATCACCTTCTAGGGAGAAAGAACTAAAAAAGGAAGCAGAAAATAAGCATAAAGAGAGAAGGAAAGAGAAAGATAAATCATCTGGTAAGAGCCACTCTGATGCAGATGAGCTTGAGAAGAAAACTGCTAAGGAAACTGAACGGAATCATGACATTGATAAGAAGAGTGAGGTTGATTTCCGGGAACATCCGAAGTCTTGGACAGATAATATCAAGGGCAATGCTCTTGAAACAGGACGTGGGACTAAAAATACTCCTGCAAGTAATTTTAATCGGGGAAATGGTGGAACTAGATACTTCGATCGTATGAGGGGTACATTCTTGTCATCGTCTAAAGCTTTCACGGGAAGTAGTTTCTTTGGAAAGACTAATACTCCTGCTATTATTACAAAAGAGAACAAAACTAACAATCCTGTTGACCATGTCCATACTTTGGCCAATAGGAGAGACTTCTGTCCATCTGAGCGACTAACTGGGAATTTGAGTATTAATGGAGATGATAAGAACGATAAAATCAACCAGCCTGTAAGTTCTCTGACTCTGTTATTTGAGCTCATTATTTTCGTAAGTTAGTATAATTCTTACCTTTTTGTGCGAATATGAAATACAGGCATTTTCTTTTGAAATTAGTACAATGCTTACCATGTAGTCAGTTTAATTGAATCACCGTCTTCATTTTTTCTCATGTATGTGACCCAACAACACATATTTTCCTATGTCTTGTTCTCAATGCAAGCTCCAAATAGGACGAAGGCTTGATTATTTGGTTGGCTTTACTGCATTTCCCCCCTGGAGTTGGCATGCTATATTACTGTAGAATTTGATGTTTTCTTGAAGATTATGGTCTTCGGTCTATAATAGCAATTTTTGTAGAAGGAAACAATGCTCAAATATGGAGCTGTTCACTGTAGGTGAATTCAGAAACCCAACTGAGGACAGCACCTAAAAAATCGTGGCAACAGTTATTTACTCGCTCACCTTCTGCTCCTCCAGTCTCAAATGGCAATGTTATTAGTAGACCAACTTCAAGGATTCAGGCAGAAGCTCAGAGCCCACCATTTACAGGCCATTCGACAATACAGACATTTGATAATCCTATCAATTTTGGACTACCCTCTCCATTTATGTCTTCGTACACAAATGGGGTTCCCAAAAGTAGTATAGGTTTCTCACCAGCTATTGAGCTCATTTCCGCTCATGCTGCAGATGGGCTTCGCGAATTTATACAGGAAGAACCAGAGCTTTTTGAAGACCCCTGGTATGTTCCTGATCCGGTATCCTTGCTTGGGCCTGTTTCTGAGTCACTTGCTAATTTTCAGTTGGACTTGGGTGCTGGCTTTGGAATGGACGTGGGAATGGAAAGACCTTGTGGTTTGAAGAATATATCTGCTGCTGAAATTAGCAAGCCCTCACCTATAGAGTCTCCAGTGTCAAGATCACGATCTGTTGATGAAAGGCATACGAATTCTAGCAGATCCCCAGTTACCCCAAAGGCCCAAGATCTTCCGTCTTTTCCTGTGGATGATGCTAATACAAATGAGAAAGGCACATGGCAGATGTGGAACAGCTCTCCCCTTGATCAGGATGGTCTGGGCTTGGTGGGTGATCCCGCAAGCTGGTTCTTGCCCCTGGAACATACTAGATCTAACAAGGAAGACTTTTTGCACCCTTCTCAGAAAACTATGGCATCTTTGTTCACAAAAGAGGATCATATACTTGCTGGCAAACGGTCTCCTCAGAAAGATTTTCTTGGGAATGGCCAGAATGGTGGAACATTCAGTCCTGTAGCTGATCCAAGAGATTACGATCCATGGTTACGGAAGGCCTTCTTTCCACCATTATCTGGCAGTGATAACCATTTTGTTAACAAGTCTGGGGAGGAATTGAGTTATGGAAGTCCCTGTGTATCTGCAGGCATCCATCCATTTGAGCCGTCTCCTGCAAATTTTTGTCCCAAGTGAGTCAATCAAATTTGTATCCTGCCCTTGAATGTTAATATTTCGGATTTTTGAAGATGGAGAAAAAAGAATCTTTGAACTATCTTATTTGGTGAATCAGTTAATGATTGATATGAGAGATATATTTTTACTTTTAGGGTTAATTGACTGTAGGAATTGTGCCAGTGGAAACTATTAATCTTTTAGGGTTTAGGGATAGGAATTTTAATCATTAAATTGATGTTGAGTCTGTATGTCAAAATTGTTCCATAGAAGTGGGATTATTCTTGAATCCCAGCTGTAGAGAAGGGGTTGCTCAAAGATTCCCTAATTTCTTTTTCTGATGCCTATTGGTTCATACTGATTTATCCATCTGAAAAAAATGTTAAAATTTTATTTGAAGCTTGTATTGGTTGTCTGACATTTGTGAGGTACTGTTATCTTTGGGCAGGAAGGAATGGGGTATGCAAGAATCAGAGCAGCCTGTTGGAAAGTCTTCTATAGAAGGGCCAAATGTTGGGGGTTTATTTCCCAGCCAGATGCATGGTCACTTTGGTAATTTGATTGAGATAGAAAAAGGGGTGAGAAATAGCCAATTGGAGGGACTTTAGAATATATCTCTTCTCACTTCTCTTTCTGTAGGGAGAGATTAGAATATACTTTGATGCATTGTATCTTCTCTTGTTTACGAGGGAGATTAAAGAGAACTAGAATGCATTTTGTGCATTAACTTCATCCTTCTGTCTTTTGTCGTTCGTTCAGTTTAAGTATGTAGACGTATCAAGAATCCAAACAAGCACGCCCAAGTTACATTTATTCGTATACAATTTGTCCTCCCAATTGATGCCGCTGTCATCCTGTTACAACACATTTGTCCTCCCAATTTATTCATATATAACTACCCAAAATCCAATTTTGGCTCTGTAGGAGGCCCTTTTACTTGAGGCTTAATATAAAATTAAGTTACTAAATTATACAATTTTTTCCATTTAAGTGACTAAATTAATTTCCGATCAATTTAGGTGGCAAACATTATAGACATTATTATTTTAAGGGCTCTCTCGTTAATTTTTGTAAAGAAATTCAATTAATTAACACGTGTCTTATTTTTTTTTAAATTTTAAAGATTTTATTTTAAGAAAACCTAAAAATAAATTATTATATTTAAAAAAAAAAAAAATCACCCCACCACCCGTCGTCCCCCATAATCTCCCTCCCGTCCTGTGAATCGGTTGAGGAGTGCTTAATTCTCGTCGAACCAACCTTCAAGAAATAACAAAAAATTAAACAACGAACTCATACAGGAAAGGGAAACCCCCATTATTCTATATATGTATTAACAAATAAACATAAAAGCAACCAAGAAAAGAAGGGAAAAAAAGCACCGAGAAAGATTGGAAGGAGAAGTCAGGATACGATGAAGAGTGAAATGAGATCGAAGTGACGAACTTGCAACTGAAAACAAGTGGTGAGAGAAGGGAGGGAGAGAGAGAGAGGAATTTTAAAAAAAATATTTTTAAAATAAAATAATTTATTTTTAAATTTTTTAAAATTCTCAAAATACGACGTGTATCACCTAAAGATAATTTTTATAGCGTTATGTATTTGAATAGATCAGAAAATAATTTAAATATTTAAATAAAAAATAATATAATTTAAACATTTATCTTTTAAAATAACCTTTACTTAAATATTTCTTTTAAAAAATATTTTTTAAAATTAACAGTCATTTTACATTAATTCTTGAATCGATATTCTTTTTGTTATGAGGGATAAAGATACATCCTCTCAATAACACTTTTGAAAGACGTTTTTTATAGGATGTATTTGTGAAAGAAGTAACTTATTTAGCATGTTTTTCAAGGACTTTGAAATTTGGAAAAATATAGAATATAAAAATCTCCTTTTTACTTATCCTACCCATTCCCTATAAAATCATACTCCCCTTATAATATACACTTACAAAAATAATTTATGGAAAAAATATCCTTTATTTATTTTTATTATGTAGAAAAAAATAAGATATAATTTGAAATTTTGGCAAGTTTTCATAATATTTTTATTTAATATTATTTATTTAATTATTCAGTTGATTGGTTATATATTTTTAGGTGTTCAATATATTATATTTTGAATATTATTTAATTTTAAATAATTAATAATTTCATCATGTAGTTAAAATATTCGTAGAGGATATTTTTTTTATTTTTAAGAATAATGATGATTTTTATAATTATTTTCTTAATATTTTGCAATTAAAATTAAAAATGTTAAGTTTGGATGTGAATATAAAAAATTATTTTTTTATTATTGATTAATTACTATTATATTTTTACTAAATAATTTTTATATTTATTGTAAATTAATAGAATTAAGACCGTTTGCTTGATCTATTTATTTACAATGTGAAAAATATCACGTGATAATGTTCCACAAGCTTGTAACGAGAATCTCAACTATTTTTTGGAAAAATTCAAAATTTATTTTGAAATTGTTATCGACTTTTAGGTTAGGTATGTCTACTACTTAAAAAGTATCTTTTATTGAATTTTGGAAAAATTATTTTAAAAATGAAAATTAGTCTACATTTTATCAAAGATTCATTTTTAAAAAGTAATCACCTCGCAACGTCCAAAATTGATAACTCCCGATTATACGTTGTCTAAATAATGAAATTTTACATATTCAAATTCTAAATTTAAATTACAATCTTTTCATTTAAATGAATAAATTTGAAAAGAGTGAATTTCTATAAAATATTTGACTCTAAAAAAACATTTGATTCACTTATTTTTATTTTAAAAGGATGTCCTTTTACTTAAAAAAAAATAACGGAAATTGTTATCTGGTGATATTGAATACAATTCCATTAACTTTAGATTAAATAGGGATGGTAAACGAGCGGGTCGGGTGCGGATACCCCCTCCTTTATCCCCATACCCACCTAATATTTTTTAATCCATCACCCGCCCACCACCCATGATAGGTACAAATTTTCAAATCCACACCCGCCCACCCGGGTACATTCTCAAATCCATCCCCACACTCACTACCCACTAGCGACATACCCGTCTAGACCCGCCTAACAGCAAACTTAAGTTATACATAAGCAACAAACATAAAAAAAACATGTCCATTAAGAAACATAATAAAATAATCCAAGGATTATCTAAGTTAAGTGTTAATATAGATCTTAAAATACATAAAACATCATAATAAAGGACATAATTAAAATCTAGAAACATAAATGACAAACACATAATGTTTTTGTTCTTTGGCACAACATTCTAAAATTTCAGGCAATATTTGTGACATATAAGACTCCAGTATTACAATTATCATTCTCTATTTCCTCCAACTGAGAGCGCTCCAATTTAAATTCACTACTACCTACATATATAATAGAAAGTAAAACTAATATAAGTTAGTAACTAAACTTTAATAAGATAATTAAGCACAATTTGACAACTAATAACTAAATAATAATATTACCTTTAATATCGGCCCAAAGACAATTTTGAGCATACATTAATGCTTCAATCGTCTCCGGAAGTAGTCGACTACGATAAGGACCAATTACTCTTCCACCTATATTGAATGCAGATTTTGATGGGACAGTGGAGACATGAATGTCCAAAATATCCTTTGCTATTTGTTGGAGAGTTGGATAAATTACATGTTATATCTTATACAATATTAGAATTTATAAATTAGTCTCTAAAATTACACCTAAATTCATAATGGTTCAAAATTTAATGGATATTTAGTTGGGCGAGCGGATGTAGGGCGGGCGGATGCGGGGCAGATGCGGGGCGTATAATGTCTCAAACCCATTACCCGCCCACCACCCGCGACGGGTACCACTTTCTAAATCCACACCCGCCCACTACCCGCTAAAATTATACACATCCCCGCCCCAATTGGAGCGGATGCGGTGCAGAATCAACGAAAATGTACCCGTTTGCCATCCCTAGATATAAAGCAATATTGACTTTGATTTTTAAAAAATAAAAAAATAAATACATGATTAATGAATACAACAATAATAAATGACATGTAAATAACATGTATGTAGTGGATGAAATGTCAGGAATGATATACCAATTTAAATAAACAAATTTACACCTAGATATTTATATGAATTAAGTCGAAACTGACAAGGATGTTCTTTCTCTTGTGCAACTTAAGGAATTACACTTCATATATTTTGAATTAAATCTAATCAGTTTTTCTCTTTTTTCAAATCTTATTCTTCACTTTATCAAATATTCTTTAATTTTTAGTCTTCTTCAATCTAAATCTAACTATAAAATAATATACAATTGTTTTTATTTATTTATTTATTATTCAAAATCAAGCTATTATCATACATGCATTCAATTTTTTTTTTATTTATTCCCTTGTATTTAAGGTGTTTTCTTAATAAAAAAATATATTTTCAGCAAATTTAATCATTTTTTATGATTTATTTATGTAATATTAAATTAATTGTTCAAGTATGAAATATACGTTCATTTTATAGAAATATATTTTTTAGTTTTCGCTCAGGACTCTAAAAATGTCTGAGACGACTTTAGTACCAGAAAATTTTCAACTTTATCCCGTTGTTGGCATCAAATTTATGCTAGCACCTATATCACATAATAGTTTTCCTATATATCACACTGGTGAACATTTTGTGTGTGTGATAATGACACCATTCTATATGCACCAAACTTCATTTCTCTTAATAACCTGTCCTTCATGAACTTTACATAATTTGGCATTTGTTCAAATGCAGAACATTGATTTGAACTTGTTTCATCATATTCATTAATATCATATATTGTTGATCTTGTTTATTCTTTTGGAGTTTTATGGAAAAGGTGGCAAAGGTTTGTACACAAAATTCACCTCCTCTCTGCTCAAAACTTCTTTTACCTTGGAATGTTACTTTTCTTCTAATTATTCTCTGCGTTTTTTTATTGGTAATTTCGTATATTCATCTTTTAACGTTGTGACTTCAACTTGTTAACATCTGACGGCTTTTCCTCATGAAGTTGTTTACCGCTATACAATGCAACTGCTTTGCATTACTCATTAGCCTCTCTTCACGCAACTTCAGTATCACTGAGTAATGTAACTTGTAGATAGTTACTCGAAACATTCGTCATTTGGTTAATTTGCGCTTTAAGCGTCCTCAAGAATACTGCTTGGCTTTGAATCATAACCGATTGGTTTTGTAGCTTTATCCAATTCTTTTACTTATATGCTTTAAATATCAGGTCCAATGAATTGGGCGATGATTGTCGCGGCATCGAACATTATTACTGCCCAAACCATTGTTGGTTATATCCAAGCGATGAGCCCGTATTTTTCTTCCCAAATTGATGTCTTGGAAGTCATTCACCTCAATTTGCAAAAGAATATCATACTCCTTGTTATATGTCTTATCCAAAAGTATACCGTTTATCGAAGCATCAACGACCATTCTTGTATTCAGACTCAACTCGTTATATAAATCTCAACTTATGCCTAATGCAGAAAACCATCAACCCACCAACTTGATCCTTATCTTGTTTTGATTCTTTTCTTGTTTTCTAAATGAGTTAGATTTGAGCTTATGTTGTATTTTTGAATATTTGGGATTTTGATTTAATAAAGCCATTCACTTCCCAACGACAGAAATATGCATATTAATTAGATTGCATCTTCGGGCCCAATCTGTGAATTCAACTACTGCGTTACTTGAGCCCTTGAAAGAGGAACTATAGCATTTATTCCCCTTGCAAGGGTACGCATTTGTGCCTTGTACAACATAGAGCTTGATCTTCTTCATCA